GTGTCTGACTCTGAGTGACTGTGTCTGACTCTGAGTGACTGTCTCTGACTCTGAGTGACTGTCTCTGACTCTGAGTGACTGTGTCTGACTCTGAGGACACAAACTGTCTCTGACTCTGAGGACACAAACTGTCTCTGACTCTGAGGACACAAACTGTCTCTGACTCTGAGGACACAAACTGACTCTGAGGACACACACTGTGTCTGACTCTGAGGACACACTGTGGTGGAAACCTTTGACATCACTACTCAATAAAACACATGGACCTATTTTCCAGAACCTGACTGAGAGCATTTGGTGTTCCCACACAAACAGGGAAGAGTTGAACTCACTGAGCTGCAGCTCGGTGCTCGTCCACCTCGTGGCCGTCAGGGGCGAGAGGGTTGGAGTAACTTTCAGCTAGAAAACAGACAGAGTGTTAGGAGACAGACAGCAGGGGGCTGCAACACAACCTTACACATACACACACCAAAACAACTAAATATACAGTGACTCGTAAGATTATTGTCAATAATGATTCGTGAGTCTGAATCCACACAGATTGAATAAAACTTTACCGAGACACACGGTGACCTGATAAATAATGAGTCATTTTGTCCATAATAAAACGTTGCAGATTAAACAGGAGAGAAAACGTTTAAATTAAAGACTAGTTTCTCTTCTGTTCTTTCAGCTTCGTTTTTTTGTCGAAGAGAAAATCAACAGTGGCTGTTTACTGCTGACTCAGAGCTATGCCAGGCTAATAGATGCTAACAGAGACGTGTCCTGGTGTCGTCTTTAACACAAAACCTCCTTCAGTCTGATAAATATCCGCTTCAGTTTCAATCTTATTGTTTTTATCCGAATTAATCTGAAGCGTCTCTGCTAGCAGCGAACAGCTAAAGGCTAGCCTCGCAGTGAGCGCATGCTAACGGTGTGTTGTAGTTTCTTGTGTGTGAACGTGTTTCAGAATAAAACTCACTCTCCGGCATTTTCTGCGTCTTTTCTCCTTCACGGTGAAAAACTGATTCTTCCTCCTCAGACGAGGACGTTCAATTAGCACACTTAGCTTCGGCTAACATCAGCGGATCACTACGTCACTTCCTCTTCCGTTAGAGCTCAGCAACACAGCGCCCCCGCAGGAGGCCGTGATCACTGACACAGCGAAACCAACCTCTTGATTTATTGACGTCATGTGAACTTGTTTTTCAGATTATACGTCACAGGGTGGAAAAACGTCTGCCATGATTTATGTTGGTTTTAAAAGAGGTCTGATGTTCTGTATATA